CTCTCTCTATTCGCTCCCCCTCTCTCTCTCTCTCTCTCTCTCTCTCTCTCTCTCTCTCTCTCTCTCTCTCTCTCTCTCTCTCTCTCTCTCTCAACCCAAAAAGACTTGTCATTCTGCGTTCGCGCAGAGGCGCGCTTCATCCTGCATCCATCAGAGTGCCCACAAATGTTGAGGACGTGTTATTGGGACGTGTGACTGGGGCATGTGATCGGGATGATTGGTCGCCAATGAACCGGGATGTGTGACCGAAGCGGGATTTTTCTTTCGTAAGTCGGATGTGTGATCGGGGCGTGTGATCGGAGCATGTGATCGATGCGTGTGATCGGGCCGTGTCATCAAGGCGTTTGATTGGGGCGAGTGATCGACAAAGAACCGGGACGGGTGATCAATATTTTAAGTCAAGCTTGTAAAAAGAATCATTCTCTAAGTGAAGCTTTCGATTCTTCATTAATAAAAAAAAAATCAAAATGACGAAATAAGTATCGAATCAATACTTCTTGATTGATTCTTTGGTTGAAAAAAAGAGTAATTCATTTCCTTATTGAAATGTATTTGATACAAGATGATACTGGAACCAATCGCAGGAGTTGATCTCTGAACACGAAGAAGAGGAACAACACTATTCGACGACAGATGGCGAACGAAATAGACTCACGCAAAAGACGGACAAAATAGACGCACCCAAAAAACAGACGACCGAGGAAGACGAAGATGGAAGAAGAACACGAGCGAAAAGGTTTGCGAAGAATAAAATGATGAACGAAGCTAGGAGAGAAACAAGGACAAGATATGGTAACACCAGTTGACGAAGGAAAATGTTAAAGGAAAGAAAGGCAGATGGAGAAGAAGAATGGACTAACCGATAAGATGAATGTAAAAGTTTAACAAATCAGACGAATGAAAAAGACGAAAAGATGTGCGAAGAAGAAGAACACGAGCGAAGCGAGGAGTAAAACAGGATCTGCCTGTTTTACTCCGTGCTTTGAGCGTGTTCCTCTTCTTGGCAGATTTTTTTGTCTTTTTCATTCGTTTTCCTTGTTTAACTTTTTTGTGCGTCTCATCGGTTCGTTCATTCGTCTTCTCCGTCCGTCTTTTTCGTTCAACATTCCCATTCATCTTATTCGTGTTCGCACATCTTTTCCTAGTTTTTCTCCTAACTTGGGTAGTGTTTTTCATCTTCGCAAACGGGGATCAAACTAGCAGTGAACGACGAATCTTGTCTTTGTCATCACGTTGTTTTCCTTGTTCATAACCGCGATGTTTTTATGGATGTAGGTAACCCGAACTCCTGTCGATGGATACAGATCACGTTGTGATAAAAAGAGTCAAAGTGTCCTTTCATGCATATTTGTTTTGAACTCTCGTCTTTGTTTCGTAGTTTCACAGACACGTGCATAACCATCCTCGGTTTGTCCTGTCATATGACATATTCAAGAACGTGCGTCCTCTTGAAGCAAATCAAGATTTCTTCTGCGACATTAAACACACAACAAAAAATTCTAGAAAACCAGAAAGGGCGAGAGAGGAAGAGAGGAAAGAGCTAAAGAGTCTTTCGATATCTCTCTGTCTCTCCTTTATCTCTCTCTGACTCAATTTCATGTCTATTCGTCTTTTTGTCGTTCTTTATCTCGTTTTAGTATTCGGAACACGAGATCCGTGATTGCACATACGACGAAACATCTCAATTTTGATTACGCAACTGTTTACGTCTCTTATTCGTTAAACCCTATCAAACTACCCGTCAGCTAGTCGCCATGCGAACATGAGCGGAACTCTTCGCTGACGTGGCCACGGGCGAGGACATCAACTCATGTGTGATGACGACACGAATCGTTCTGTTCTATTGTGTTTCGCTCATCGCAAGATAGGGTTTTACGGCCAAAACTGCACGACGCAGTTCACGTTTCTTTTTTCGTTATCGGCAAAGTATTCCCTGTCATCACCCGAGGCAAAGGTCAGTTGAATGCATGAACGATCAGTAAACCAACCAAGCAGTGAAGATGCGAATCAAGACGAAAGCCTCCAACCGAAAATTACGTTCATATCGTAGGATCGGGTCAATCCGAATGACAATAACAAAACATCTGGAACACACGCTGTTAAGTTCGAATTGATCCGATGCTCAGAGGGTATAGTCGACGACGCACGGTCTGATCAACAGGAACGATGGAAACAGACAGTGTCGATATTACCCTCTAGCGTTCGGACGAATCCAGACCACCCCTGTCAAATTCGGATGCATCGAGCGACACCCGTCTTAAACTCACCATGACGACGACACCCCCCTGTGAAGTTCGGATGAATCCGAAGTACAACTGGGGAACACTGGTAGCTCGGATGGTTGATATGGCGACAACAAACCATGGTGGTCTTCCCCAGTATCAGGTTCGGATCAATCCGAACCTCATCCGACTTACCACCAAGGTTCGTATTTATTCGAATGGCGAGAAGACATCAGAGCGAACACACGACTCTGTGAAGTTCAGATAAATCATACCACACCAATGTGATGTTCGGATGAATCCGATCACACTAATGTGAAGTTCGGATTAATTCGAACCACATCGGTAGAGTTCGGATTAATCCGTACCACACCGGTAAAGTCGACCCTCCCCCTCTGCAGTAAGGGTGAGCCCGAACCACACAGGGGTTACACACCTGCCTCGGATCCATCAATGGTCAAGGGAATTATAATGTAGTCTTGGACCCCCCACTCTGGTTGATACGAACGTCGACCTTACCCTGGTCAACGAGAGAGTAGGTTAACGACGACTTTTTTTTTCGTCATGCCTCTAGTTTACCAGCAGTTCTCTATTAGCAATGAAATTTTTACTCATGTGAATGATAATGAATCTATTTAATTTATGAATGTCTTTAAGAAGACTGTCTTCACAAGTAAGGGACCGAGGACCACAGTGAAGAACAATACTAACACCATTCTCCTTCCCAAGGGAGCGAACATTCCACCCAAACCCCGGAAGATCCTGCCACAAAACCATGGGTAGATCTTCGGATCAGTGAAAGTGAGTGCAAACAAAGAGTGAAGAAAGGGGTTCGCCTTCAGTACACCAAGCCGGGACACTCAATCCAACATTGCTTCAGATTGCAGACGAAGAGACTGAAGACGTAAGTGTAGATCCTTCCCCGGATTCTGATCCCACTCAGCAAATCTTTCCTGAGACCCAATCTGATGCTGATTCGATGATTGAAAAATTGCACATCCTATACAAGGAGTCTTGGGTGGAGTCAGAAGAAATTGACTTTCATGCTCTCTTAACGCGTTGGGCTCACGTGAAGCAAGAACGCGTGCAAGGAAAACAAAGTTGATCTTCTTCAAACTCTGCATTAACGGTCGTTACATCCGTGCGTTGGCTGATTGTGGCGCAACCGCCAACTACTTCTCACCGCACGACATTCGTAAGGCACGTTTGAGAATGAAGCAAGCGACCTTGCAGAACCCTTGTTGGACCCAAGGGGGCAACCAAGAGGTTGTCACATCTACGCATGCAGTCAAAGGTGTGCGCACTACCTTTGACGCAACGCACAATCACGCATGAGTTGAACTTCTATGTCCTTGATCAGTGCCCCTTCGACGCGGTTATTGGCTTGGGCTGGTTACAGGCCCAATGTGTAAGGACTCACAATTCATGGTACGATTTTAAAACGTTTCAAGATGAACACCTTCCAAGCACAAGAGCCTA